TACTGATGTTGCAGTAGTGTGATTGATGCCTAGCATTGTTGGCTGGTGGGCAGGCACAAAACTAAGGCTCTGCCGCAAAGCAGCTAAACTTCTCTCCTATACCAAATTAGTCACTTGTTATATAATGCTAATAGATTAATCTGCAATTCCAGTTACTGTCGTGTGCTGTTCACAGTGTGTCACCATTTGGATTAAAGTAAAATATTTTTCCCAGTGCTGTTGTATAAAATAATCCACAGAAAGTTTTGGAAAGGAAATGCTGTAGCAAGTTTTAACAATATGAGTGTATTGTATTATAAATTCTTAACCTTAACAAGCTGGGTTGTTTCTGAGATGAGGTTTTTACAAACGAAAGAACCATTCTCACTGATACCAGCTCATGTTTGCAGCAATGTTCCCTCTAAGCTGTGGAGTCTTGTGAGCAAAAGTTCTACTTTGTGAGCTACTGGCATTAAAGTTGTGAGCGAGCAATTTGGCTCTGGAGCCACCCTTCCTGAGCTAAGATAAAAATGTGTGAGCCGGAGCCTAAAAAACTGAGCTAGCTCACACTAACTCAGCTTAGAAGGAACATTGGTTTGCAGTGATCATTTTGAGTTATTTGCCTCTGCATCACTATGTCTGTATTCATGAGGGTGAACAGTGCCAAGTGAAGCATAAACAAATGGGCAGAATCCTTCTTCATTTGGGCATAGCGCCTGTTGGGGAAAACAGGACCCCATTTTCCCTGCCTCAATGCATATGTACAATCAGTGCTATGGAAGAGAGATCTTGGAGTCGTAGTAGATAACTCAATGAAAATGTCAAGACAGTGTGTGACTGCAATAAAAAAGGCCAACACTATGCTGGGGATTATTAGGAAGGGTATTGAAAACAGATCAGCCAGTATTATAATGCCCCTGTATAAATCGATGGTATGTCCTCATTTGGAGTACTGTGTACAGTTCTGGTCACCACACCTCAAAAAGGATATTATAGCATTGGAAAAAGTGCGGAAAGGGCAACTAGAATGATAAAAGGGTTGGAACACTTTCCCTATGAAGAAAGGTTAAAGCGTTTGGGGCTCTTTAGCTTGGAGAAACGACGGCTGAGGGGTGACACGATCGAGGTGTATAAGATTATGCATGGATAGAGCAGGTCGAGAAAGAAGTACTTTCCCCCTTTCTCACAATACAAGAACTCGTGGGCACTCGATGAAATTGCTGAGCGGTCGAGTTAGAACAGATAAAAGGAAGTCCTTCTTCACCCAAAGAGTGATTTACACATGGAATTCACTGCCACAGAAGGTGGTGGTGGCTACAAGCATGGACAGCTTCAAGAAGGAACTGGATAATCATATAGAGCAGAGGTCCATCAGTGGCTATTAACCACAAGGTATAGATAGGAACTCACAGGCTGGGGCAGGAGTTGCTCTGGCTTCTTGGGGCTTGGGAGGGGGCAACAGTGGGAGGGCTCCTAGTGTCCTGGCCCCACTGATGGACCTCTTAATGGTATTTCTTGTATTTTTGGCCACTGTGTGACAGAGTGTTGGACTAGATGGGTCATTGGCCTGATCCAACATTGGCTTCTCTTATGTTCTTATGAAGACAGGTCTGTGGTTGCCTCTCACATCCAGCCCTTTCTCCTCTGTGCAGTCATAGAACACCAGCATGTTCTTTGACCAAGTGAAGAGAGTGGGCTGGACGTGGAAACGGGAGGTGTGCACAGATCTCCCATTTCTCTTAATGGCCTGTTGGGGTGAGGCAGCATAGGCCAAGGAGCTCTGTTATGTCTCAGAGTGGCTTACAGTCTCCTTTCCCTTCCCCTCCCCACAACAGACACTCTGTGAGGTAGGTGGGGCTGAGAGAGCTCTGACAGAAACTGCTCTTTTTCAAGAACAGCTGTGCCAGAACTATGGCTTGCCCAAGGCCACACCAGCAGCTGCGAGTGGAGGAGTGGCTGCATAGCTTCTGAGTTCTGACTAGATCGGGCTAGCCTGTGCACTTTAGGTCAGTTCCTCTGATCCTGGTTAATCGTTGCTCCCACAGAGGGGAGTCCTTTAAAGGGGAGAGAGCACCTTGTAATATCCTGGAATGGGAGGCCAAATTTGAATTGGGCAATGTGATCTATGAAATGCACATCCTCTCTAAACTCTTCAGCATAGCAGAGAGAGGAAGAATTAAAAATATCCCATCCTGGATTGTGCCACTGAGGTTTAGGTGGGGGTGGGGGGGCTTAAGCCTGACTTTCAGCAGTTGGAGCAGTTGCACTATAACACTGGGACGGTGTGAGCAGGAAGCAGTCATCTAGCCCCAGAATTTAGCTGTGCTATGTGGTAGTGTTGGGGATTAAATTCTTTTATTCTCCTCCAGCCTAGTGGCTCCTTGTGGATCCCTAAAATTGGTTGTCATGCAGAATGAAATTTTTTAAACATCAGTGTTGATATGCTAAAGCTCACGGCTGCAAAGCTCTTAGATTCAGGTTGTTTGCATTTGTTATTGCGAGTGGTTGGAGGAACTTGTGTCCTTATGATTGTGGCCCACTTTAGCCTACATTCACAGTTGAGTATTCTGATCATAAGTGGACCTTCGATCTACTACCTCACATTCCTTGACTAAAGGAACTGCTGGCTAAGTTTTTATACCTGGCTACGAGAATGCATCTGCTCAGGGCAATAGGGACACAAAAATGGCAACTGAGGGATCGTTGACCAATTGCTGAAGCCCCCTGTGAAAGTTCTGGAAGAAACACTGTGTCCCTGAATGTGGTGGAATCAGAGAGTGTTTATTGAGGGGATTAATTAGCCCATTCAAGCAGTCAGCATAATAGCAAGCATGTAGTAGCGGTAACACTAGAATATCCTTTTATAAGATGCAAAATATGCCAAGCATGAGTGTACACATGTTGCACAATGTGTATGGGGCGGGGGAGCCCAAAATGGTAGTGTGAGAAGGCAGAGCAGGGCTGATAGCCGCCTCTCCGCATATTCACCTGTGTGGCTTTGCCTGGATTATGAAACAAGCTGCATTCATCAGATAGTGCTGGGCAAGTCCTTTCAGAGTTTCAGAATATTTATTTAGTTGAAATATTTATATCCTGCCATCCCCCTAAAAAAGGCAGCCATGGGTGGATTACTTGAACTCATGCACAAGCAAATAAAAACACAGCCAATATTTTAAAAGTAACAATCAGCTGCTGAAAAAATTGGTGGAGAATCCATACAGAACTGAATAGCCCAATACGCCACTGCAGTGATACACAGATACATTGCCAGAAACCAAAAAGCCCCTGGAACAAAGCTGCCTTGGCAATGTCTGGCCTCCTCTTCCAGAGGGGTTAGGGTGATGACTGCAGAAGCCCACAGCCAGGCTGAGGGACTATAGTGCAAGTCATGTCAGACAGCAGAGCAAGCAAGCTAAGTTTGGAGGAGCAAAGCTGGGGAAGAAGAAGAAAAAGAAGAGATTGGATTTATACCCCACCCTTCACTCAGAGTCTCAGAGCGGTTTACAAACTCCTTTCCCTTTCCCTCCCCACAAGAGACACCCTGCAAGGTAGGCGCGGCTGAGAGAGCTCTTTCCAGCACTGCCCTTTCAAGGACAGCTCTGACAGAACTATGGCTTGCCCAAGGTCACACCAGCAGCTGCAAGTGGAGGAGTGGGGAATCAAACCCGGTTCTCCCAGATTAGAGTCTGCGCACTTAACCACTACACCAAACTGGAATGGGCGTATTGTCATGTAGACCCCAGGTCATGTATGGCGTTTTAGGCGAGAACCAGTGCCTTCGATTGAACCTGGAAACAGACAGGCAACCAACTAAGATGCTTCAAAACAGGTTGTAATATGCTTAAATCTACATGCTCATGCCAGAAGATGAGCCAGTGCATTTTTTCAGTAATTGAAAAAGTATGGCATCAGCATACTTGGTCGGATCCAGCAAAAAGTTTCTAGCGTGAGATCTTATGCAACCAGTTTCTGGGCAGTATTGTATAGAGGGAGGAAAGCGATCTTGAGGGTGGGACAGTTGCTTTGCAAATATAGGAGGTGGGAACTGAACCTGGGAAAGGTGGCCTGATGAGTCAGTTGAACACTTAATGAGTCAATTGAACAGCAAGATTTGAACTGAGGGCCTCGAGTCATAGTTCAGTCTTTTTGCCACTATGCTAAAAACACTGATGCAGGGTCTGATCTACTGGCTATATGAGATGAATGGTGTGAATAGAATACCAGGATGGTACTTTAATTTGCAGAAAAAGAAAAGAAAAGCATGTCTATATGGTGACATACTCCATGGGCAAACTTAAAACTGGTTTGGTTATTTATTTCCAACAGCCTCGTCTGTCAGTGTGAAATGCTGTGTGATAGCGATACATATTTGTGCATACCAGAGTTCTATAAAAATCAGCATGTTTTCCCTAGTATTGAAGCAAAAGGCACCCTCTTGTGGCGGTAATAGGAAAGGCTAATAGCAAAAACTCATTCCTTGATTATTATTTCTCTGCATTTTAAACCTTCTCTAATCATTAACCCCCTTCCTCCTCGTTTTTGTATCCTCATAGCATAGTTGTTAGGTTAGAACAACCACATTAACCAGTTTGTTCTCTTTAGTTGGTGACTGTAGTTATGAGCAGTGATATCTGCTATTTCATAAATTGAAATTGCTATAGCAGTTGTTCCTATATGGTAGCAATCTGTGAGTCAAGAGCAGAGTAGAATTTATGCATTCTTTGAGTAAACTCTGGCAATTTGTAAATGCTGTCTGATTGCTTTGCCTTGTAAGACACGGGAGGGCAGGAACTGTAGTGCACTTTATAGGAAAGAGTAATTGTACAAAACAGAGCTGGCAGGAATTACAAGAACGTGGTTGAAATAGAAGAGAAAGATTTTATAGGGGGATGTGGAAGGGCTGGATCCCTTTCACAGCTCTCCGAAGAGGGGGCTGTATTTAAGTTACTTCACTCAAGCCCCTTGGAACTGGCTGTGTTTCTACAAGAGAAGGTATTAATTTTGTTCCTTTTATTTCCTAGGTATCTTGCAATATTTTCCGAACTCTTCCTCCTAGCGATAGCAATGAGTTTGATCCAGAAGAAGATGAACCCACCCTTGAGGCATCATGGCCACATTTACAGGTGAAGTTCAGTCTTGCATTTTAATGTACTTATGCAGCGGAATGGAACCCCAAACAAACACTTTATTTTATTTTATTTTATTGGACTTTTAGCTCGCCCTCCCCTGCACAGCAAGCTTTTTATACGTGTAGACGGGAGAGGAAGGGGAAGGAAAAGGAGATCTATTTGCCAGTGATGGGAGGGTCCTCTGGTCCTGTGGTAGACACCAGGGTTCTTCTTCTTGTGTTTGCAGCTGCAAGGCACCATTGGAGTTTCATGAAGAATCAAGCAGTGCTTAACTTGGTTATTCTGATACTAAGCCCGTTAGTTGTAATGAAAGGTGCATAGAAATGCATCACTATTGAAATAACAATGGAATGTTTGCAACATACACAAATATGAGAGAGAGAGAGATGCCCTATGGGTATCTCATGTTTGCAACATTATACACAAATGAGAGAGAGAGAGAGAGATGCCCTATGGGTATCTAGAAGGTGGACCATGCTGGTCCAAAAGTAGAATCCAAAGCCATGAACACAATCCATGTAATACCTCTTATTAGAGCCGATCAAATGGCAAATCAGTGTTCAGTCTTTCAAGTTTGCTGGATCTCTTAATCCGGGTTGATGTTATAGAAATTATATTAAAATGGCGGCGGGGGAGGGGTAATGTTAAGGCCTGGTCAAACCTGCATTGTGTGTTGAGATGCAAGCAGTGCCTGAATTCAGCTGATAGAGAGGTATGTGTGGATAATATAACTTGAGTGTATGAGGACGCACCTAAACATATTTCATTGTCACTCCCCTTTAGCCTGGTATGCATCTTTCCATATGTACTTTGGTGCTAGCAATAGAAGTCTTTTTTAAAGGTTTTTTCTTTTCTTTTTCCATATGTGTATATGCGTGTCAGAGTGTGTGTGCACCTGGAAGTCATGGTGACCTCTGGTGACTGACTGTGTGCACCCAGAAGTCATGGTGACCTCTGGTGGTTGACCCCTACTGGGGGCCTGGAGGAGATTCAGGGAAGCGGCTGATTAAAGCCTGCCCCCACATCCCAACTGCTGATATTCCAAGGGGGTCTTCCCATCCAAGTACTTGCCAGAGTTGACCCTCCTTAGCTTCTGAGACCTGATGAGATCGGGCTTGCCTGGGTCAGCGTGCAATTGAAATCATGATGGTTTTCTGTTTGGCAGTTTCTGTAAATCACAGTGATTGCAGTTCATTTTGGGCTCTTGTTGTTTATTTGAGTGGTGGTTTATATATTGTTTGCTTTGGTAAACTTCCAGTTGTGTATTTCTCTTCACTTTTTGGTTGCCCTTTAAGACTGACAAGGAGCTTCTGAACCTCTGTGCGAGACAGTAACTGCGGGTTGGATCCAAAGTACTATATACACTTGTGGAATGGGCTGTTCCTGCCAGCGCACTGAACCTCATAGACTCTGCTCCTGGAGCTCAAGGGATCCTCACAAAAGGGGGATAGCTGCAGAAATCACCCTTCTCCTAACATGCAAGTGCAAGTTCCATTACACTGGCTGATGAGGGCCTTTGGATCCCACCCAGTGTGTCCTAGTTTGAGGAATGTACATGGACAGATATTCTGGTTTTGCTTGGAATTCTGTTTCAGGTTTCTGAAAAAGAAAATACTACCTAAGCTATCTTTTAAAGGAAAAGTTGCTGCTTTCAGTTCGCTGGTATTTTTAGCTCACAAAAAAATGCCAGGACGTTTCTCTGCTGCACTGCAATTTCTGCAACCAATTCCGCTTAGGCTTCGGTAATGAAAAACACCAGTTTTGCTGCTCTGTTTCCATTCCCTTTTGTACACTGAATGAATGGCCTGGTTTGATGAGATAAATATGCAAACATAGATGGACATAGCACTGAGCTTAACAGCCTTTGTGTTGGTTTGTAGAAGCTCCTTCAGTGTGAAATGAAATTAATAAGAACCATGTGATTCATAGCATAGGGGTGTGGAGAGACACACAACACTGTGCCCCCCATTTTCCTGTGATTCTTCACCCTGTAGAGTTTAAAATGTGAACCCGATTTGAAACCTATGTGAAAGGGAGTTCCTTGGCAAAGTAATTTGGAGTGAGGAAAGTTAGCAGGGAAAGGGTTAAGTTCCCACTCCCCTGCCTTTAAAACAGAAGAGTCATGGGGCTGCAGTTACATATCTCTGTTTGTGTGCATGAGAGAGCATACAAGAGGAGTGTGTGCCGGTGTCCTCCAAGCTAGAGGGGGAAATCTCGGCAACTTGGAGACTCCTGATTAGATCACATTATTCTGCATCAGGCGTCTGTCTTCCAGTAATGCTCCCGAACATTTTCTAATTGCTGTTAAATGTTGCTAAACTGTTTCACCAGCTCTCGTTAGCATTATAATTGCTTTATTTTATATGATGATTTCAAGAGTCTGGAGGGCAGAGGAATGCGCTTGATGATTACCCCCCGGGGGGCTTTGACAAGCCAGTGAGCGAGCCTTTTAGGGTTGGCAGAGCCAGCTCCTGTTGTTTGCTGGGATTCTTCAGTCTGCAGCTTGAATTAGAAAAATTAATAGATGCTTTGTGGTCACTCTGCTTCAAATAAGTATATGAAAATTACAATCGTACTAGTTTTGGATGTATATCCTGCCCAGTCCTGAGGGTTCAGTGGTATTTAATTGTGCATGTGGAAGATTTACAATGAAAAGAGGCTGCATAAATGGACCCAGCATTCCACCACAGCAAAACTGCTTCTCCTCATGCAATACAGCTTTTCTTTATGAGTGTGGGTGTGGAGGTGGCAGCTTCAGCAGAAGGGAGAAGTATCAGGTCATTGAAAGAGCAGACATGCATCCCACCTCCTTCTCTCCTCTCTTTCTCTCTCTTAAAACACAAAAGTCTTCAAGAAACTTTTTGGTAAAAATACAGCATACATATGTCAGGTAATAGACTTAAACCAGTGTGTTGATTTTTTCCCCCCTGCAGCTTGTATATGAATTTTTCATACGATTTTTGGAAAGCCAAGAATTCCAGCCCAGCATTGCCAAAAAGTACATAGATCAGAAATTTGTATTACAGGTAAGAAGATCTGTTGCCTCTGAAGCTCCTGTTGATGTTTGCTATTAACTGTTTTAACCTCTGTGGTTGAGGATGATCAGTGGCTGTTATGAGCCAAGGGAACTTAAGCAATCATGCTACAACCTTGTGTGTGGACCTTCACACAAAACTCATTGAATTTTTTTTTTTAAAAGTGGATTTGAGGTTTTCACCCTCTCCTGAAGTCGTGGTCCAGTCCTCCCTGTTGAGACTTGCCAGTGCATAAGAACGTAAGAGAAGCCATGTTGGATCAGGCCAGTGGCCCATCCAGTCCAACACTCCATGTCACATAGTGGCCAAAACCCAGGTGCCATCAGGAGGTCCACCAGCGGGACCAGAACTCCGGAATCCCTCCCACTGTTGCCCCCCAAGCACCAAGAATACTGCCTCTGACATAGTGTTCCATCTCACAGACCTCTGCTCCACATGTTTTTCTAGTCCCCTCTTGAGGCTGTCTTTGCTTTTAGCCACCACCGCTTCCTGCGGCAGTGAATCCCACATGCTAATTACTCTTTGGGTGAGGAAGCAGTAGGTTGGCAGGTCAGAGGTGAAGTTTGGGGCTCAGAAACACAAAGCAGAACACAGGAAGCAGAGATGCAAAGGCCTGAGAGATCAGCAAATCAAACATTTTTTAATGTTTGAAACATGCAGAGTTGTTTCAAACATGCAAAGTTGCACACCATGTCTGAGCGTCATGTTTTGCTTTATTTTTAAAACAGCTTTTGGAGCTATTTGACAGCGAAGATCCACGAGAACGGGACTACCTAAAAACAGTCTTACACAGAATTTATGGCAAGTTCCTTGGTCTTAGAGCATTTATCAGAAAACAGATTAACAATATTTTTCTACGGTAAGGCCCCTGTTACTGGTTTACTAAGTTCACATGGGCTAGACAGTAGAATAAATAATAATAGTTTTGTTTGACATTATTTAATTTGTTTTCGGCAGGTTTGTTTATGAAACGGAGCACTTCAACGGTGTAGCTGAACTGCTGGAAATATTAGGAAGGTGAGTGAACTTTCATGCTAATGGCTGATTTCTCAGGTTGCCTCCTCCATACGTGTGGTGGTGTCATGCTTGGTGTATGAAAGAGTTGTCAGACGTTTTTGAGGGCCAGAGCTTACGTGCGCCTCCTCCATACGAGTTGCCAGACGTTTTTGAGGGCCAGAGCTTACGTGGAGGGAAGTGCCATTTATTCCAGCCAGATGCTTCCAAATCTCAGTGATGGTGATGGTGATTGTACAGCTTGTAAAATGAGGACCCCTTCTGACCCCTGCACAGGTGCAAGATGGGCGCAAGATTATTGAAGCCTGGCTGCTGCTCTCTAAATCAGTGGAATACCAGCTATGCTTCTCTTTTTCCTTGCACATCTGTTACGCACCCAGTACTTTAGAGTAAAAGGTAAAAGTTTTCCTTACTCAAGTTTGACTCTAGGGTAGCGGTGCTCATCTCTGTTGCCAAGCCGATGAACCAGCGCTGTCCGAAGACTTCTCCGTGGTCATGTGACTGGCATGACTAAACGCTGAGGCTCACAGAACACTGTCTCCTTCCCACCGAAGCGGTAGCTGTTTATCTACTTGCAGTTTCTTGCTTTCGAACTGCTAGGTTGGCAGGAGCTGGGGCCAGAGATGGGAGCTCACTCCGTCACGCGGCACTCGGGTCTCGAACTGCCGAACTACCGACCTTCCGGTCTGCAGCTCAGCGTGTCTTAACCACTTGAGCCACCACAGCCCCCCAGTATTTAAGACACGAGCTTAATCTGCAGAGATAGAAGTAATGGGGGAAGCTGTGGATGGCTGTCCTGGAAAGTGAGGAAGGATATTTATTTAATTATTTGCCTCATTTATACTCTGCCTTTCTCTGGGGAACCCAAAGTGGCTCACATTGTTCTCCTTGCCACCGTTTTACCCTCACATCAACCCTGTGGGGTAGGTTAGGCTGAGAGTGCATGCCTGGCCGAAAGGTACCCACCAAGCTTCCGTGCAGAGAGGAGATCTGAGGCCGGGTCTCTCAGATCCTAGTCCAGCACTCTTACCAGTTTGGTGTCGTGGTTAAGAGCGCGGACTCTAATCTGGGAGAACCGGCTTTGATTCCCCACCTCCACATGCAGCTGCTGGTGTGACCTTAGGTTAGTCACAAGTTATTTCAGAGCTGTTCTCCCTCTGAGGACATCTTGCTGGGTGATTCCCCCCATCCAGTCAGGGTGGCAGGAACATCCCCCCCCCCAACTTCCTGTCTCTTGCCTGTGGGAGTCTCCCTATTCAGTTCTTTTCCTGCCTCAACAGGGAGAGAGCAGCTTAGATCAGGCTTTGCCGTTATCTAATCTTTAACACTCTAAATTCATTATATCATCTATCTTAACTACTTCTATATACCCTCCCTGTATTCTAACCCTTTTTGAAGAAGAACAACAATGTTATAGATGCCTTCTTCAACAGTGGCGGCCATCTTAGGAGACAGCGAGGGCTTTCTTCTGCCGAGGAGCTGAACCACCCTCCTTATTGCTGGTGCCGGACGGGGCACATGAGGGGCCAGCATGACCTATAGCAGGCTTGCCGAGGCTACCCCAGCGGGATGGCCTTAATCTGAGGGCGACAAAAAGCGGGCCAAAAAAACACGGCACCTTTTACAACTGGCTGCCGGAGACCAGGACAGTCAATCTGCAAGGCTGCAGGGAGATTCCCGTTCCGTCGGCAGGCCCTGAAAACTCACGTCAACTAGCAAATAGAGAAAGGAATCTCTATGGGACCCAGGCAACATGCCAGATTTCCAGCGTTCCGGTAATGTATGCAAACCTGGGCTGTCCTCCTTACCTTCCGATTTCCTTCATTCTCTTTAGAGTCCAGGAGGCTGCTGAGCGATGCTCCCTCTAAGCGGTGGAGTCTTGTGAGCACAAAGATTCTCCTTTGTGAGCCACTGGCATTAAAGTGGTGAGCGAGCGATTTGGCTGCTGCATCAATTAGTTTGCTCTGGAGCCATCCGTCCTGAGCTGAGACAACAACTGTGTGAGCCGGCAGCTAAAGAACTGTGAGCTAGCTCACACTGACTCATCTTAGAGGGAACACTGCTGCTGAGTCCCCCCCCCCCCCCTAAGACTGTGGCTTCTAAGGAGGGTCATCTAAGCAACTACTCACTGCACTAAGTTGCAGAGGCATCCGTATGCGATGCCAGCTGTGGGTCTCCAGGTCTACTCATGAGTAAGACACATGGATCAAGACCATCAGTGTTTTTTCTCCTGGGTTCTAGCTTTGCTCAGACAAACCATGCAGGAGGAGATTGCCAATTCTGGCAAGATAGAGATGGAAGACACACATCTCACCCCAGCTCCTTCTCCTGCCCCCTCCCTTCATGCAGGCAGGGGATTTGGGCAATGCAGCTTCTTCCTCAGGGAGACCTAGCTGGCCCCTAAGCCTGAGGGGAGGGAGGGATATAAATTGAATAATAAAATAAATAAATGAATAAATAAGGCAGCTGGGAAGGAATCTTACCAAAGAGAGAAAGAGAGAGAGAGAGAGAGAGAGAGAGAGAGAGAGAGAGAGAGAGAGAGAGAGAGAGAGATCACTCTCTGTAGCAGACAGTTGGTCCTTACAAATAGTTACCAGAGGATACTCCATGGAGTTCATCAAACCCCACTGGAACACCACATCCCCCCAACACACACAAGGGTCAGAAAAAGCTTATAAAACTCTTACTACTATACACCATTTCTTAACATTCAGGCCATAGAACCTGTCCCTCCCTTAATAGGGGTACAAGGAGATTTCCCCCTTCATGGCGACAAGAAGGAACGGAAATTGAAGGGCAGTTTTAGTCTTAAAATACCTCAACAAGCGTACATTAAGATATTTCAGAATTTCATCACATTAAGATATTTCAGAATGGAGTCTCTGGATCCATCACTGAGTCCTTTCAGCCGGAGGAGTATCTCACTTCAGTAGATCTTGTTGATCAGATCAAACCCTGTGGCCAAGGCGCACCAAGACACAGAAACAACTGTATACTGTCTACAGAACTACAGATTCCTGGTCAATCTTCAGTTACGTTCTCTAGCACCTACTAAGAAAGTACAACACCTAGATGTCAGGATGGTCACAACTTGCTTACACACTAGACCACTACAGCAGCTTCCAAGACATTTCCAACTACAAGTTATGACCAAAGGGGACCCTTTCCATCAGGGCTCCCTTACAGTAAAGACCAGTCCCTCTGGGAGGACGAGAACACTCAATCCCCTTCAGGTACGGAAGCACTGCATCCCGGAGGTGAAGTAGATCTTTCTCAGTCTCCAGTCTGCGTGGTTGGGGACAACACTAGAAGGCTCACCAGTACAGGGTCGGTGGTCTGGGAGCAAGGCAATCCCCCTGGAGCTTTGGATGGTTTATCTGACCTTCCTTTACCATCAGCCTACAGATACTTGGTCAACATGTACTAATTTGACCGGCAACATACAATGAGGGTCTATATCTTCATCTACCACAAGGAAACTATCAAGATCATAACATGGGCGGAGAAAAACATCACCAAACAGCCTTCAAGTGAATTGGTGCTCCACCATGTTTCTTCTTCATCCACTGGCCAAAGTGTTCGAGGCTTAACATTCCAGTGGCCAAGTGACCTTATGTTTGCCTATCCCCCCCGGTCCCTGTTCCTTCAAAATTGGTCAGGAAGATCAAGGACCAGAAGGCAGCAATCACAGTACTAGAACTATATTGTCCTCAGTGACCATGATTCTCTGACCCTCCGGATAGGGCAAACCAGCCACTGCTAACGCTGCCAGTATCACCGGACATGATTCAACAAGGTCCTGTGTGGCTTCCACGTTCAGGATGGCTGTGTTTAACTGCTTGGAGATCAAGTGGAGCGACCTTTATGTCTAGGCTTTTTGCAAAATGCAATGGATACCCTGCTGGATTAGTTTACAATACTTCGTGGAGGACTCCCATCAGGCAGAGTACTAGAAAAGGTATCGACCTCCTGAAGAGTCTAAATAGGTTCTATCCTTTCTATAAGAGGGACATGACGGGCTCAAGGACTCTTCCTTTACATTCTCAAGTAACAACTCTGCCAACAGTGTTACCTCTGTTCCAAGGTCTGAGCCTATCTAGACACCTTCAAGCTCACCACCTTCCAGGGGTGCTGCTCTCAATGAGCCATCACAAAGATGAAGGTTTCTAATGCAGAAATTGTGTACCACACTCTCAGTTTTGTCAGGCATTATTTGATCCTATTGAAGAAATTCCACTTAAATGGCTTAGAATGAAAATCTTATTTTTCTTATAGCAGGCGCATCAGGTAGGAGGGCTTCTGTCCTAGGCACTTGTTCAGTCAAGCCTGAACTGTGAGTTTTCTATAGCGACAAAAGGGTCATGAAGACAGATACCGCCTTTACACCAAAGACAAATTCGACCTTCCACAGGTCCCAGAAAATTTGAGTCTTCCTCATTTCACCTGAATCCTATCCATCCAGAGGAGGACCTGCAGCAGGCCTTGGAAGTAAGACTTAAGCTTAAAATAGATTCCTTATTCATCTTCATCTCTCCACTGAAGGAAGGAAGGAGGATGTCAATTTGGACATCGGCAGTACCTGAAGCTTACAAAGCTCAATATTTGAAACACCATCTGGGATCACTGCACGCTCAGTTTGAAATGCCACAACCAACACAACCCTAACCAAACACACCACAGTCAAAGAGTTAGGCAAGGCGAACACATGGTCATCAGTATCCGCCTGTGTAGGGCACTCTACGGTGAATTTCTAGGATTTGGCTGACACAGCTTTTGGAAATGAGTTACAATGTATTCTAGATCTGGAAAACGATGACCCACCGAGTAACTGAGGACACTGCTCTGGGAGGTCTCAGCAAGATGTCCTCCTCCTCAGAGGGAGAATGACCGTTGGACACCGTGAAGGGTCCTTCTCCTCTGAGGAAAGGAGGACATCTTGTCCCTCCCAAAGTCGTCATCAAACTAGTTATTCAGCAGGTACACTTCTTGTCTCACAAGTACTGTTTTCCTGTTTTTTCCTTATCTAGGTTGTCACTCTGTTCTTGTCTGTCCGTTCTCTTTCCTCGACTTGACTTTACATACTGTTTTTGGAGTTACCAAAACTGAATAGGGCGACTCCCACAGGCAAGAGACAGGAAGTTGAAAAAAAACATTCCTGCCTCCCTGATTGGACGGTGGGAATCACCCAGCAAGATGTCCTCCTTTCCTTAGCGGAGAAGGACCCTTCACAGTAAGTTTCCAATGGTCGTTCTCTCAGGAGCAGTCCTTGAAAGAGCTCTCTCAGCCCCACCTACCTCACAGGGTGTCTGTTGTGGGGAAGGGAAGGGGATTATAAGTCGCTCTGAGACTCCTCAGGGTAGTGAAGGGCGGGGTATAAATCCAATCTCCTCTTCTTCTCCTCCTCTAACCGCTACACCACTCTGAACACAGGTTTTCTCGCAATAAAAGGTCTGTCATGGGTTTCCACCACAGCCAGGGTTGCTGCTTCATCTGTACTAGCACAAGCTGGTCTTTATGCTATCCCTGGTAAAGTGGCTTTACAAAGATTGGGATGCATTTTGACAAGGCAGTTCTAATAGATATGCATATATGATGTTCTTTTTTTTTTTAAAAAAAAACCCTCATTGGTCTTGCATAGGCCCATGCTTCACTTAAAGCTATAAGGTCACATCTTTGGAGGCCTTTGAGAAGCTTTCCTGTAGGCAAGATAATATATATTTTTTGATGGCTTAGTCTTAGGGTCGTTACCTGATGCAAGGAATTCTACCTGCAGTTGGGGTAAGAACGGGCTCACATGTTCCTTTCCCACTCTCTTTATTTTTGCTAGAAGTGAATGGCCGACTTCAGAGATCCCAGCTTGAGTGTGGAGATCTCCTTGACAGCAGAAGATAAAACTGGAACTTTAGAAAGTCTGTTCAGTCACTGACGTCTTCCCGCACTGCGGTGGGGAGCATATGAGCCCAAATCCTAGGGATTGTGTGACAAGTTAGCAGACCCCAGTCACCTGTTTCATAATATGCACTGTTTGTATGAACTAGTAAAACTTACGAGTGTGCTTTTGTGAAACCATTTAGGAATAAAATAGGCAAGCTCATCTCTGCTCTCAACAAAATTCAGTCCATGATTTCCACATGTGTTTTGCCAAAAGTCCCGTTGCTGCATGGCTATGAGTGAGTGATGGCGTGCTCATCCTATACAGAGTGCCACCATGTGATGAGCCACCTTTTGCTGTAAGAGTTTTGGTTGAAGCCTCAATAAAAATCATTTCATCATGCTCATACAAAAATGTTTCTTTTCTCTTTTTCCAGTATTATCAATGGCTTTGCTTTACCTCTGAAAGCAGAGCATAAACAGTTTTTGGTGAAAGTGCTGATTCCTCTGCATACCGTTAGGAGTTTATCGCTCTTCCATGCGCAGGTAGAAATTTATGCAACTGTTTTCCGTCTCTCACCTTTTGCTTGAATTGTGCAGACATTAACACCCCCCCCATTAAAGCACGTGTTGACTGTGCTGTATTTTCGAGTTATTTCCCCCCAAGTGTAATAGCAAGGATTGTGAGGCTGATGTTTCTTACACGGTGTTACGAGCTGGTGCTGTGGCAGAGGATATAAAGAAGTAGCTGATACTGAAACTAGACCTGCAGTGTGTCTCACCCATGCCAGCTTCCCCCCTGCAGGCAACAGATGGGCAGGACGCATTGGCCCTGAATCCGTGGCAATGATCTGTCTCTAGGCTGGTACTTGAGAGGCAGACACTGAACCTGGGACATCACGTGAGCAAATTATATACTGTGTGTCCCAAAGGCCCAAGCTAGCCCGATCTCATCAGACCTTGGAAACAAAGCAGGGTCTGCCATGGTTAGCGCTTGGATGGGAGACCACAAGGGAGTCCAGGATTGCTTACACCTCTGCGTATCTCTCGCCTCAAAAACCCCAAGAGGGTTACCAGAATTCAGCTGCGACTTCGCGGCACTTTCCACCACCATGTCCCTTAGGCAAAGAACCTCTTCCATGCAATCCTCGGATCGGTGCAGTGCATGTGATTCTGTGGTGGCTGATAGCATAAAAGATAAACCCGTAAAACATAAAATTAACAGCCAGTAAAGTCCAGCCCATAAAACCCAGAAGCATAAATGCCCCCGTGAATCTTTAATCGAAAGGTGCTCTTCCACTCAACGAACGGGTTTTCCGCTCGCCGAACGACTCCTTCGGTGAGAGGGGTTCAACCCTCTGTGTTCCATCCACTCGAGGGGGTTAGTTTTCAGTGCTCTGTATAATTTGGGAGGATGCGGGGGTTGGGGTTGGAGGAAGAAGGCGGCATATCCTGCAATTGCAAGGTACAGCAGCTTTTCTTTTTTAAAAAAATCTTGCCTGCCTCCAAGGCATTGACAGCAGCCTAGGAGAGAAGATGCGTGGCCTGTCCTACATATGTAATTACATGTGGGTAGGCTTGGATTTGTATGTCTCTTAATGTTGGGAAGTTTATTATTGCCAAGGATTCATGTCCTCTGAGACTGTTTGTGTTAGGGAGGCACTGTGGCTCGGTGGTAGAGCATCTGCTTGGCGTGCAGAAGGTCCCAGCTTCAGTCCCTGGCATCTCCAGTTAAAAGGGACCATGTAGTAAGTGATGGGAGAGACCTCTAACTGAGACCCTGGTGAGCCGATGCCAGTCTCAGTAGACAGTACTGACCTCGATGGACCAGTGGTCTGATTCAGTACATGACAGCATCATGTGTGATGTGTTCCCGATCCCATTCTGAACACTGGTAGGGTATTCAGGGCTAAAAACAACAAGCCTGCACATAACAAGCCTGCAACCTAAATTGGTATATATTTTGTCAGCTCACACAGTGGAGGGAGAAGGAGAGAGCGAGCTTCTCTAAGGGTGCCGAGTGGGATGGCCTTGCGGTTCAGTGGAAGAGACTCAATATAACGTGCAGATGATTGTGGGTTCGATCCCCGGCATCTCCGGGGATCAGGCAATAGGTGATGTGAAAGACCTCTGCCTGGGACCCTGGAGAGCCACTCCTAGTCTGAGTAGACAGTACTGACCTTGGTAGACCAGTGCTCTGATTCAGTATAAGGCAGCTTCATTCAGCATCTCTTATGCTATTAGCCTTCCTGCAAGGTGTTCTGCCTTCATCTCCAAGTCAGCATTTAGTAACTAGCTATGCTCCTAGCTTATATAGTTTGGAGCACTGGAGGCTGGATCAGACCACACACTCCCGCCCTTTACTTTATAGATTGCCAACACTAAAACATTTTAGTTTAGTACCCTAGTCTCTTTTTGGGTGGAAGAGAAAGAGAATGATGCCAGGAAAGAAGGTGTATGGCCTGTCCAACATGTATAATTACATTTGGATAGGCTCGGATTTGCATGCCTCTTAATGTCAGGAAGTTTGTTGTTGAGAAGGATGTGCATAGGGTCCCAAGACTTGGGCGCACCGTTTGGGAAAGTGCCTTTTCCCTCTAGAAGCCAATGATGAGAAGATTTGTTAGGGCTAAAAGATGAGTTTTTTGAAAAAAAGAGAGATTGTCATGTGTCAGTTGGAACTGTAGGCTGCCACACCTACCAGAACCTGGCGTCAGGTCTGAACTAGCTGCTGTATTCCAGGTCTGTGGCATTCTTACTTTGTAGGCTTGCAATACTTAACTCTTTGATCAAAGTATTGTATCTCCCATTTTGTCAAACAATGCATTCTCTTTCTCTCCCTCTCTCCCTCTGTTTCTGTCTGTCTCTCTCTGTAGGATGGATATTTCCGTGAAATATATTAACTCACATTTTCCCCCTTCTCTTTTGCAGTTGGCTTATTGCATAGTGCAGTTTCTGGAGAAAGACCCTTCACTCACAGAGCCTGTAAGTACACATATTTATTGTTTACTTTGCATTTTACTTTGCAGAGCATTTCTGTACCTAAACCATCTCCTGAACTTCTCTTCTTCAATTTAGGTCATTAGAGGTTTAATGAAATTCTGGCCGAAAACCTGCAGTCAGAAAGAGGTGAGTTGAAGGGGCAGTGCTTTCACCTAACCCCGTGGGTTCCGGTTGAACTTGCTCTCGTAAGAACGAGCCTGGCCGCATGCTGGTCGTGAACTTTCTCAACAGACACGCCTCTGCCCCTTGGCTTCAGTTCTCAGTCTGCTGCAGTAGGAATAATAGTGACCTATCTGATATCATTGCGATGATGGAAACCACCGTGAAAAATTAAGCACCCTCGGTTTGCAAAGTATTAAGTATCAGCAGCTACCAAGGCAGCCGCAGGGCAAACTTTGTGTGTGTGACGGGTAAAAGTACATGCTGTTGCAAAAGCAAGCACTGCGTGGCTTTCCAAAGAAGGGAGAACCGTCCCAAAGATGCATGAAAGTAGACTTTGAACATCCAGGCAAAATCTATCCAGAAACATCCAGCGTGTTTCCAGCCCAACATGAAGGAACATCATCGTACGTATAGAAATCGTAATGTTGGAATGATGGCTTTATATAATGTTATAGTTCCCAGAGAATGAACCTGGCTGTGCCTGGATGATTTTTTAATCAGATGTTTCATATTAAATAGGGCCACGGTGGCTCAGAGGTTAAGACACAGAGCTGCAGACTGGAAGGTCTGTAGTTCAGCAGTTCGAGACCTGAGTGCCGCGAGATGGAGTGAGCTCCTGTCTCTGGCCCCAGCTCCTGCCAACCTAGCAGTTCGAAAGCAAGAAATTGCAAGTAGATAAATAGGTACTGCTCTGGTGAGAAGGTAACAGTGTTCTGTGCACCTTGGCGTTCAGTCATGCCAGCCACATGACCATGGAAACATCTTCGGACAGCGCTGGCTCTTTGGCTTGGAAACGGAGATGAGCACTGTCCCCAGAGTCAGATTTGACTGGCTTTCGAGCAAGGGGAACCTTCCATATTAAAGGTTCCTTCTGACTAGTGAAAGAATGGCATGGCATGTGGTGGTGGGGAAAAGTGCCGTCAAGTTGCAGCCACCTTATGGCAACTCCGTAAGGTTTTCAGTGCAACCCCCCTCCCCCCCAAACAGAGGTGGCTTGCCATTGCTTGTCTCTGTGTAGCAGTCCTCGCCTTCGTTGGTGATCTCCCATCCAAGTACTAACCAGGGCTGACCCTACTTAGCTGACAAGATCTGGCTAGCCTGGGCCATCCAAATCAGAGTGTGAAGTTATGAAGAATCGGTGGTGGTGGAAAATGCTGTTAAAGTCACAGCCCGCTTATGCTGACTATGTAGGGTTTTCAAGGCAAGAGACAAGCAGAGGTAGTTTGCCACTGCCCGCCCCTGCATAGCAACCCTGGACTCCCTTGGAGGTCTCGTATCCAAGTCCTAACCAAGACCAGCCCCGTGTAGCTTCTGAGAGTTGGCCAGCCTCGATCATCAAGGCGTAGGGTCTGTAACAGCCTACCCAAATATGTGTAGTCTTGTGTCCCGCCACCCCCACCGCTAGTCCATCTAGCCCAACACTCTGTGTCACACACTGGGCAAAACCCAGGTGCCATCAGGAGGTCCACCAGCAGGGCCAGAACTCCTAAGATGTCATTAATCCTTTATTTTAAACAGAAGAATCTGTCAGAAGCCTGATCCCAGGATTTTGAATAGCAGCTGCTTCACCATGCATACTGTTGGGAGAATAAAATAATGGCTGCCACATTAGTACCATCCGGAACAAAAGTATGCTGCCCAACCGCCATAGTTTTTAACAGTGTAAAGGTTTTTAAGAACCTGTTGGAAATATTTGCTTCTCCTTGGAAGTGAATAGTTTGGAGGTCAGGTGGTTAATTTTTGTCCTAATCTTCAATGCGCCTGAAGCTTGTGCACTCTTATGCCTTTAAGAGATAAATCAGCATTTATTTGCAAAACCAGGAAGAAGGCAGCTGCAGATGTCACCTCTACAAGTGATATGTGGTTTTTGTGCATTGTGTCTGTGCTTGTATCACCAGAAGTTGAGTTGAAGCTTCTTTCAGAATCCGTTTGAGCAACCGTGAAGCAGAAGAACTCTGCACTTAATGATTTCTTTTGCATCTCTAGGTCATGTTCCTTGGGGAACTGGAGGAGATATTGGATGTGATTGAACCGTCGCAGTTTGTCAAAATTCAAGAACCCTTGTTTAAACAAATAGCTAAATGTGTCTCTAGCCCGCACTTTCAGGTCAGTATTGCACTCAGCTCAGGGACTAACCACTTGTTGTATGCAAGCATGTATAGGAAGCTTCATTACCATACTGAAAAATTAAAGGCACTTCAGGGGAGGGTAACTTATGACAGAGCAGAGGGCAATAGTTGGAAGAGAAGCAGAGCGACTTAGCCTTTACAATGCTCCACTAGATCTTTGCTCCGGAGTTTTCCCACAGGCACCTTACTTGTGCTTACACAAGAACGTGCAAGTGAAATTCCAGTGAGGGAAAGCTAATCGCTTGGGGGAGGGAGATGAAACACATAACTGGGAAATGATTAATTTCATTTTTTAAAAAATGTTTTGCCCATATTTAGCCCTTCACTGTGTGTCACAATTCCTAATGTACTATGGTACACTTAACTGGAAACATCTATTTTTATTTATTTATTTTTACTGTCAAGTGGCAGCTAACTTATGGTGATCCCATAAGGTCTTCAAAGCAGGATATGTTCAGAGGTAGTTTGCCGTTGCCTGCCCTCTGGGTAGCAATCCTTGTCTTCCTTGGTGGTCTCCCATCCAAATACCAACCAGGACCGACTCTGCTTAGCTTCTAAGATGTGACGGGATTGGGCTAGCCTGGGCTATCCAGGTCATGGTGGAGGCATCTATGAAGTTGTCTGTGAGAGCAAGTACTGCTTTCCAAAAAATTAAAAAACTTTAGAATGTAGAAGACATTCTGAAAGACAAAAATTCCCAACTGAAGGGAAGGCGATGGATTCTTTTCTTGTTTACACATTTCTGACCCAATTATCTGCAACTTCAGGCAAATAACAACAGAAGAATTGAAACACTATAATAATATGGAATAAAATTATGGGGGTTGTGTGCATCCTGCATGCATGTATTCTGCCTTAGGCTTCTGCAGCCTAAAGATTCTTCCTTCCAAATAAAGTGTCTCTTCTGTTGGTGCCAAGTTGGGAGTTTTCCTCCAGCCTAAGGCCAGTCCCTTCGACAAAGAATTAATGGGCATAAGTCTGACGTCAGAAACCACAACATTTAAAAACCAGTGGGGGAACATTTTAACCTTCCAGGACATTCAGTTGCTGACCTAAAAGTAGCAGTTATCTCACAAAGGAATTTCAAGGGGAGATTGGAAAGAGAGACTGCTGAATTGCAACGGATAATGAAGCTCAAGACAATGCATTCACCTGGACTGAATCGAGATCTAGGTTTTCTGTCACATTATCAATGCTGATTTCTCCACGCCTGCTACCCCTCTGCATACCACAGCTAACCCAATCACACCTGCTATTATCGTTTGCCTGCTAATGTCATTTGGCATCTGAAATCACTCTGCTTTCCAATATATAGGACAGATGGACTCACATTCTAGTTGTATCTGAAGAAGTGAGCAGTGACTCACGAAAGCTCCTACCCTGCCCCAAATTTTGTTAGTTTTTAAGGTGCTTCTGGACTCTTGCTCTTTTCTACTGCTACAGACAGACTAAAACGGCTACCCATCTTCAGCCTAAGGATCCTTCTGTTCCACTGAAATAGTTGCTTTAGTTGTGAGAAGAAGGCTCCTTAGCCAGGACGAAGTCTCCCATCTTGACTCCATTGGGTTGGTAGGATACATGACACAGAATCCATAAAGAAGTAAGCAGCGGAGATGACAATGGCTATGGAAGGAAGATGCCTTATCCATAATGCAAACCTTACCCCATTATGCAATTTGAGGGCTTCTGCAAGGGACACATTTGGGGGGGGGGAAGCATTTCCAAGGAAGGGAAAAGGAGTTTCAGTTCTCTCAGCCTTCACCAGAGGTGTGGGAACAAGAATCCCATTTTCCAAATGAGATGGGTGCAGTACAAAGCATAGGGAAGCCCATAGTCATAGAAGGGACTGGGGTGTTTGGGAGACCTGGTTCAAATCCTACATCTATCATGGACTCCTTTAGTGACCCCGAGAAACTCGCTGAATCTCATCTTCTGTTGTTCTTGGGAAATGGACATAATAACTTGCTTGACACATTTCCTACTCACGGCATGTGGAATGATATTAAGAATTCCAAAGTGGTAGCTGAGCTAACGTTTTACAGCAAAAAACAAACAAAAGAGAATAGTATTGTAAGTCACATAGCGATTTTAAAAAATGCCTCATAGTTAAGTAGTAGAGTAGGTCACATTTAACCCCTGGAGCTGTGTACCGGAGCCCTAGAATTGGGACTTCATGATTAAATTGGTGTCTGGCTCTGAGATGGTTTTATGTGTTACATGGTAGCAAGCCACTGAGTGTACCGTGGAATGTGTTTGAAAAGGGACTGCAGCCCATGCTGGCTGCTTGGCTTGTATTTGCAAAGTAAATAAAGAAATACATTTTTAAGTATCCACTTAAAAGGATATTAAGGATGCTATTTATCTGTGCCGTGAGCATCTGAAAATAGGTGCAGCTGCCATGGTGCTGCTATGCATTTTTTAAAAATTTCCAACTTTTATTCAAACTTATAAAATGCAAGTATAACAAACCAATTAAATACAAAACTGTAACAGCAGACTCTTCATAACTATTTACAGCTAAGCACACACTGGAATATTACATAATATCATTGTGAGTAACATCAGTAATAACATATACAAGAGTGAAAACAGAGTCTGCCCCCAATGATTAACCACAATATATCTCATTAATATGCCATAATATTGTGATAACTGTGATTTTTAAAAAGGTGTGTATTAATTAAATTTCGTGCTGTTTTGTCTAATGAGGGGAACCATTTTTCTAGCATGTTAGATTGTTTTTAATGAGCTATCCGTTCCAGAAGCACCTACTGTAACTTTATCCATCACAAAAGTGCTGCTATGCTTAATGTTTTCTGTCTGAAGAGAAGCAAATGTCTGCGTCAACTTCCATATCAAATTTAGCTTTCGCAGTGAGACAAATGGAATATTTTACCAATCAAAAAGTGTTCATTGTTGTTGTACGGTGCAGTCCCACACGGGTAGTGCGCTCGTGTGCAGGCCAGCCAACAAAAGGTTTTTGTAGCTAGCATAGCAACAGAGTGGGAGGAGCCCCTCCCAACCAGAGCCAATCAAGCCTTTCCGCCACCTAAATGGTCATGTGCTCTGGGGAAGGGGCTCCATACAACACTCTCCACAATGATTCATTTGCTTCACTGGTCCGTTGCAGGAGGTCCAGCATCTTCCCAGACAGTGTTGAGATGGATCGTTTCTGCCTTTAAAAATGTCTACCGGCAGGCAGACTGGCATATCTTGCCCATTGCCCATTCACGCGCATTCCATGAAAGCTCAGGCACCATCGGCCGCTTTTCAACGAGGTGTTACCTCTCCTGGACGTGGATGACCATGTGGTCCTCTGAGGACACCTTTATCAGACATTACTCTGTGGATGTGAACGCAAGAAGGGAGACACCAGTGGGGACGGCAATTTTACGGTCTCTTTTCAATAACATGCTCACCCCCACCTCCGGAACACTTAGCTTTGTAGTCTCCCATGTGGGACTGCACAGCATGGCGACAGTGAAAACAGGGTTGCACTTACCTGTAACTGTTGTTCATCGGGTTGTTACTGTGTAAGCACACATCTCCCCAGAGCACGTGACCATTTAGGTGGGAAACAGCTGGATAGGCTCTGGTTGGGAGGGGCTCCTCCCACTCTGCTGCTATGCTAACTATAAAAACCTTCCATCGGCTGGCCTGTGTGCCTGCGCAGTAGCCATGTGTGCGTACTGAATCTGAATACTGTTCCAGCACTTTAGGATAACTGTTTGTGGTTTTTGATTGTTTTTATGATGGATTTTTATTGTATTTATATATGCATTTTGTGGAAGCCGCCCTGAACCTGCCTCAGCAGGGAGGGCGGGGTATAAATCGAATAAAATAAATAAACATAAATACACAGTAGCAGCGTGATGAACAACAGTTATAGGTAAGTGCAACCCTGTTTTCCTAACTGATTCCAAACATCCAAATTTTCCCTCAGACGTTAGGGGAGGGGCTGTGGCTCAGTAGTAGAACATTTACTTGGCTTGCAGAAGATTCCTGTTTTGATCCCTGGCCTCTCCAGTCAAGGATCTGGTAGTAGGCGATGTAAATACCTCTTGATGGACCAATGGTCTGATTTAGTATAAGGCAGATTCACGTTTTCATACCCTTACGTGTTGAAGAAAAGATGAAAAGGTTCCCTCTCCCAGCATGCTGAAATTCCGTGCTATGTACCTGTTTCGTGGTGTGGTTTTTGTTTTTTAACTTGGACGTGTTACAGAGTTTTGGAAATGACAAGGAGTACGCTTTTCCCCCTTTTCTCCAAGGTGGCTGAAAGAGCACTGTACTATTGGAATAATGAATACATCATGAGTTTGATAGAGGAGAATTCCAACGTAATACTTCCCATCATGTTTTCCAGTCTGTACAGGATTTCCAAAGAGCACTGGAATCCGTGAGTTTTTTTGTGTTTGTTTCATTTTGTTTCCTGCTTCGTTTTCTGTATATAGATTATTTTCCTACCATATTACTCTTCACAGCTGAATACTGCATCTCTGATCAGGCACAATGCCGCAGCTTGGCTATTATCAGAAGCTAGACGGGATATGCACGTCATTCCCCATTCTACAATCATGCCCCTAGCTACCCATCAGTTACTGAGCTCAGTTTAAAGTATTGGCTATTACATACAAAGCCCTTCATGGACTTGGAACTGTCATTTCTGCAAGACCGTCTCTCCCCCTGTGCTCTGCCATGACAGCTTTGCTCATGTGAGCGGGGCCTTTTGCAAGTGCCAACCTGCCAATGGGTGAAATCAGCAACTGCTCATGCAGGTGCCTTCTCTGTCGTGGCCCCCGCCTTGTGGAATGGCCAGGCTGAGGTGGTCGGGAAGACTCCCCCCCTCTCCTGGCTTTTCGCAGACGATGCAAAACTGAATTATTCAAAAGGTTTTTTCTACACAGGCAGTAGGGTAGCACTGTACAAATGGCTTCGCAAAGTTACTTGGTTATATCATTGGGGACTGCGGTCTGTACTTACTGTGCACAGTTTTGCTGTGGGTTGGCTCCCGTTTTGTAATTCTGCATTGTTTAGCGTGTCATGTTAACACTTATGCTTTGCTTCAGTTCTGTTTATTAGGCTTCTTGTTGGTCCTGTGACCCAAATCCTGTTTCATTGTTTGTTGAATGCCCCAGCTTTTTGATTGGGTAGACCAGGGGTGTCAAACATGTGGCCCAGGGGCCAGATCAGGCCCCCCGGAGGGCTTCTTTCAGGCCCGCACTGGAACTGGCCATCTCCTGCTTCCCGTTCTGTTGCTGCTGCTGCATCATAGCTTGCTTCGCCAGACTCTCTCTGTCGCTCAGCCATTTCATGTTTTCCCCTGGGTCCTAGACTCAGAACTCTGAGCATGAGATTTCTGTGGTGAATGTTGATAAATCAAAAGTAGGTTTGCAGCTTACAGATACGCTCTTGAACAGCATACTCAAGATTGCAACAGCGCAGACATTCTGATGCAATAATTCAGAGCAAGAGGTGTCAGTTATCAGATACTGCTAAATAAACAAAATATTGCAAGAGTGCTAATGTTTTAAGCATGTTTTTATTTTAAGTATATAAAAAAACCCCTTTGAGTTTGTGTCCTTTATAAAGTTTATATCTCCGCTACCTGGCATGGCTATTTTATGACACACATGGCCCGGCCCAGCAAGGTCTCATTTATGTCAGATCCGGCCCTCATAACAAATGAGTTCGACACCCCTGGGGTAGACTCACTCTCTGTAATCAGCCTTGAGTCCCAGTGAGAAAGGCAGACTGTAGATAAGGTAAACAAATATTTTGTTTATTTAATTCATTTATGGTCTGCCTTTCTTGCTGACTCAAGGTGGTTTCGTAATTAAAAACCATAAAATAAGAAGAATACAAGACATACCACCAGCAGTGAATGAAACTGGGTTATAAACTTTGGACTCTACACACAAAACAGGATAATACACACAATATAACAGTACTATACAAACAGTGCAACAGAGTTGCAAAATTGGGGAGCGATGTAATAAAACGGCATAGTATATATGCAAAGAACAAAGCAATGAAAACTTCATTAATTTCATTGATGTTAACTACAACCTTATTCTTTGTTACAAATATGGACTTCTAAATGAGGCACTGCTGGTAGGAATGACAGCATTAACTGGATTTGAATGAAACAGAATGTTCTTAAACATTTAGCGGCACACAGAACTGTTTGCCTATCAGCGTGTCAGTTATTTACCTCCACTTTATGCAGGAAGTATGTTTCTGGGATACCCTACAATGATTGGGAAAGTTGCTGTGTATAGAGCACATAATTGGATCATAATATACAGCACTAACTGTACTGTACTATTCAATAGAGTAACCCCACGGACATTCTCTGGAACAGGGATGAAAGTATAACTAGTCCTCCAAAACAGTCAAGATCTTGACCATGTTTACTCTGAAGCTGCAGTGGAACTTGTGCTCATGTGTGTGAAGTTCACGGCAATAGTTGCTTAGTTTCCTCTGGCACTTGGATTGGATCTCCTGGATTAAGTGACCACTGTTCCCGAAGCCCTGAAGGCATAACAAGTGATTTAGGCCTAGCGCAGAGCAACGTTCCTGCTAAAGTGTGCTAGCAGGCGCCAGTGCACTAATTTTTAGACCTTAGGGTGACAAAATTCTGAAGCCCATAAGAAGGGGGAGATCAGGACGTGGGAGAGCTGGCAGGGTTGAAGCCAGGGAGGAAAAAAAAATTAGGGAAAAGGAAGAGAGGGAGAGGAACAGAGTGAGCCTCCCTGCAGTCAGACTTACCTGGGGTCAGTTTCCTCTGGAGGATTTCAAGCAGGAGGAGGGACAGATCATACTGTCCAAGGATGTATGTGGGCGGGGGGAGAATTAAAGTTTATGTTGCTGGCAATCTACGGAGGTGTCTTCCCGTTTTCTTAAGAGCCCTCACTGGGCAGACAGCTTAAAAGGGATGTAATCATAGCAGAGATTATGGTGGCCAATCATGCTTTTCAGGTTAACAGTCATAGCTGTTGTGTCAACCCGGGCTCACTAAAGGAGCCATAAATGAGACTTTGAGCCTCCAGCCGTAGGCCGGGATCCAGGAGTGCCCCCCCCCCGGCTATGAACCTGCTCTTTCTGTAAAGTCTGAACAGAGCCGTCTTCCTGAAATAGTTGGAGCAAAGAAGTCAGTGCGTTGCAGTTCTTTGTGCAAATGGCACGGAGGGCTGTGTAACAATTCAGTGGTGGTGGTCATAGCAGCTGTTTGTGGGTCAGAAATTCTGAGACGTGCCAAAGTATTAATCATTAGCAAGAAGAGTTCATAAGAACATAAGAGAAGCCGAATGTTGGATCAGGCCAATGGCCCATCTGGTACAACACTCTCTCACACAGCGGCCAAAAATACCAGGTGCCATCAGGAGGTCCAGCAGTGGGGCCAGGACACAAGAATACATATCCTCCTTGTATACATTGCAGAGGTGGGGAAAGTACAAAAGAGGGCAACCAGGATGATCAGGGGGTTGGAGCACCTTCCCTATGAGGAAAGACTGGAGAGTCCGGGACTTCTCAGTTTGAAAACGAGATGCCTAAGGGAGGACTTGATAGAGGTTTATAAAATTATGCATGGGGTGGAGAGAGTTGATAGAGAAAATTTTCTCCTTTCAAAATGCTAAAACTCGAGGGCATCCAAAGAAGTTGATGGGCAATAGGCTCAGGCTGGACAAAAGGAAATACTTCTTTACACAGAAAGTGATTAAAATGTGGAATTCTCTGCCAGAGAGTGTAGTGGTAGCCACAGGAATAAACAGCTTTAAACGGGGATTAGATAGACCTATCTATCAGTGGCTGCTGGCCATGGTGACTGAGGGAAATCTCCATGTTCAGAGGGATTAAACCTCCAAATCCCAGAGCCAGGAGGCAACATCAGGGAAAGACCTCAGCCTCTGTGCCCTGTTGTTGGCCCTCCAGAGGAACTGGTTGGCCACTGTGTGAGACAGGATGCTGGACTGGATGGACTCCTGGTCTGATCCAGCAGGCTTCTTCTTACGTTCTTACGTTTGTACAGTTATATGTTTCCTTACACCCTTTGCTGCTAGTTGGAACCACATCAGTACCCTTTTGGATAGAACTTTAATAGGATTGACTTGAGTTCCACGGGAGGGACCGTGGCTCAGTGGTAGAGCATCTGCTTCTCCAGTTAAAGAGGCCCAGGCAGTAATATGTGCTATGAATGACCTCTGCCTGAGACCCTGGAGAGCCAACTGCCAGTCTGAGTAGGCAATATTGATGCTCATGGACCAGTGGTCTGATTCAGTATAAGGCAGCTTCATGTGTTCCTTTACTCGCAACAGTGTGCCAGTAAGCCTCAGTTTATTCAGTGTAGTCTGGAGAAGGAGACAGAACTGCGGAGCGGAGGCAGCACGTGGGGCTGGATTCGGTGGTGGAAAGGCGGCATAAAGATGTTTTTAAGTAAATAGATATCTGCTGATGGAAGGGTGGGTTGATTTCCCCCACCCCACTTATTTCCCCCTGTGTTGTTCTTCAGGGCCCCATGTGCCCTAGGAGCCATTTTGGACTGCACTGGGAGTCAAAGAAGTTCTGCTTTCTCAGAATAAATCCTTTCCATCACCAGAGATTCTCTGTGGGATCTAGCCCATAGATCATTAAGAACTTAGAAAAAGACAAGATCCTGCCTTTCTTAAACTTACTCTTGAGGGTCTCTTTGAGCACACATTTGCCCAGTTGGAAATAAACCGAGTGAACTCAAATGTGGCTTGGATCCTGTTAGGTGAATCTGTAACTGGTTGACAGAGCACACCCAGAGAGTGCTTGCGGATGGTTTCTTATCCTCTTGGAGAGGAGTGAAGAGTGTCTCAAGGATCTGTCCTGGGACCTGTTTTGTTCAACATCTTTATAAATGATTTGGGTGAAGGAATTATGGGAATGCTTATTAAATTTGCAGATGATACTAAATTGGGAGGGGTAGAAAATACAGTAGAAAGAGTCAGGATACAGGATGATCTTGGCAGTCTGGAAAACTGGGCTAAAACAAATAAAATTAATTTTAACAGGAATAAATGTAAAGTTCTGCATCGAGGTAGGAAAAATCAAATGCATAATTATAGGATAGGGAAGACTTGTCTTGGCAGTAGTGTGTGTGAAAAGGATCTAGGGGTCTTAGTAGACAATACACTGAACATGAGTCAGCAGTGTGATGTGGTAGCTAAAAAGGCAAATGCAATTTTGGGCTGTATCAACAGAAGTATAGTGTCCAGATCACATGAAGTGATGGTATTGTTTTACTCTGCTCTGGTTAGACCTTACTTAGAGTATTGTGTTCAGTTTTGGGCACCACAATTTAAGAAGGCTATAGACAAGCTGGAACGTGTCCAGAGGAGGGCAGCAAAGATGGTGAGGGGTCTGGAGACGAAGTCCTGTGAGGAAAGATTGAAGGAGCTGGGTATGTTTAGCCTGGAGAGGAGACGACTGAGAGGTGATGTGTGATAACCATCTTCAAGTACTTGAAGGGCTGTCATATAGAGGATGGTACAGAGTTATTTTCTGTTGCCGCAGGAGGTTGGACCAAAATCAACGGGTTGAAATTAAATCAAAATTGTTTTCAGCTAAACATGAGGAAGAGCTTCCTGACAGTTAGAGAGGTTCCTCAGTGGAACAGGCTTCCTCAGGAGGTGATGGGCTCTCCTTCCTTGGAGGTTTTCAAGCAGAACCTAGATGGCCACCTGACAGCAATGCGGATTCTGTGAATTTAGGAAGATCATGAGAAGGGAGGGCAGGAAGGGTTGCCTCAGTGCTTAGTTCTTGTGGCCCTTTCTTACATGCCCAGGGAAATGCTGATTGCCACTTTGGGGTCAGGAAGCAATTTTTCTCCAGGCCAATATGGCCAGGAATCCTGGAGGATTTTTCCTCTCCCTCTTCTGGGCACAGAGCAGGGTTCACTGGGAGTGTGTGTGTGGGGGAGTATCTGTGATTTGTGCAGGGGGTTGGACTAGATGACCTTGGAGGTCCCTACCAACTCTATGTTTCTATGATTCTAAGTTGCATAATATGTCACTGTCAAATTTAAGTTTACCCAAGTGTAATGAAGGAATAATGTAAATGCAGGAAGCGGTGTTTTACATGATGTGTATTTCTCTCCTCCTCTTTCCGCATGTAAACTGCTCATCTCTTTCCATGTTTCCCCTATAATTTTAAATTCCCCACCCACCCTTTTCCGCTTTCTTAATACTGTTGTCCCAGCCTGTCTGTATAGCTGAAGCAAAGGAACTAGAGATGACCCCACTGCCTAGTATTGCTAATGAAACCCTTGGAGGTCCCCAGGGGTTTGTTACGGACACCCTTATCTGACAGCAGGGAGTGCTGGCTTCCATGCTGGGTCACAAATGTGAGGGAAGAGGATTTCTGGGTCATTTTCTGGGCACTGGTACCAGTCCCATTTGGGACTTCTGCTGCAGTTTACTATATTTTTTTCCTCCCTCCATTGTTTCTTTTATACCGTGAGTTCTGCATTTCAGTTGGTCTTACTGCCTCTTATATTTTCTCTCTCCCAAGGCAGTGGCTTCTGGGGTTTGGCTTCCCTTGAGCACTTATTTTCTTTTGCTGCTGTTGCTTCACAGGGCTTCAGATTCTGAAAAGGCACCACCCTGTGAATTGGGATGTGGCTGCTGCTGCCTTCTTCCCTTACAAAATTCATTATTATATATCCTGATGCCTGGTTGTCCTGAGTCCTGAGATGCTCAAGAGAAAGGCATTTCAATAAAAATTCTAGATCAACACCCGTACCTAAATAACAGCGACCGTAGATGTGGGCTGTTCATATTTTAGAAGAGGAACTTTAGTTTGGAGTGAGTGCATGTGGTTCGATGCTGGATGTCTCTAGGTAGAGACTTCGGGGGCAAATTCTGAGTTATGCTCTAGATCAGGGGTGGCCAAACTTGCTCAGCGTAAGAGCCACATAGAATAACTGTCAGATGTTTGAGAGCCACAAAACATGAACAAATATTACATGCATGTTTTTATTTTAAAATATGCACATTTGGTTTTTTTATTAACATTAAATGAGACTGCCAAAAAAAAAGGGTAAAAACTGATATTGATAATGATAGTTATTTATCCAGTGATATTTGTTTGCTAATGATATTTATTTGTCTAAGAGAGAAAAAGAGAGCGGTGGAAAGAAAGAATGAAAGAGGTGGAAAGAGAGAGAGAGAGCAAGAGAGAGAGAGAGAGCTGCACAATATGTGTGTGAGAGCCACAAGTGGCTCCCGAGCCACAGTTTGGCCACCCCTGCTCTAGATGAAGACGTTTTAGATCTTCAGTTCTGTCAGTGAAATCCTGAGCAGAGGTAAATGAGCTTAGAAGGAGGTAACTCTGTTTAGGATGGTGTTGCAAAGCTACCACGTAAGACAAGCCGATAGTCGGTAGAATGAGTTACTTTATGCCCTACTTAACTCATCGGTTGTAACTGGAAAGGCTGCCCTGAAACAGAAGATGGCACAATTTCATTTATGTACTGATCTTACACTCTTCATTTCCTCTCGGGAACTCGGGGTGGCATTCATAGAATTCTGTCCAGATGCAAACTCAGCGGACTGCATCTGCACCTTGAGATTAAGACCCAAACCCAACCTGTTGCTTAAGAGAGGAAACAGAGGAAAAACGGCACGCAGTCCAAAGAAGCACACCGTATCCCACTATTTTCATTAGCATTTAAAATGCCCTAAGTGCCTCATTTAGAATTGCACCCTCAGTATGGGAGAAGATGGCTTGGAAGAGCCCCTCATCGGGAGCCTGCCTTGTCTAGCTGCCACTGCCAGCAAAGCAGGGTCATTCTCACGTCTGCTTAGTCCTCTTTAACATGCAGCGGGAGAACTTTTGAAAAGGGAGCAAAAGGGTTTGTACACTCTGTCTGTGGAGTACTCGAAGAAGAGGTTCGAACACATGAAGTAAAACGGTTGTAGAGTAGAACTGAGCTTGCTTGTGTTTTGTTTTCATGGAGAAAGCGCAGATTCAGTATTCAGAGAGAATAACATGTGAACTGGACTATTTACCATGTTTGCTTGAGCGTGTTCGTCTTTTCCTGATCACACCCCCTGTTCTTTCTGGGGAATATCTCGAATGGTTAGCGGTGACTCACTTAAGTAAACGTTTGCTTTCTGTCAAAGAGGTGGAAATCTGTCAAAGTTGGGCGAGTGGGCGTCAAGCTGAAGAGCCCAAGACTTGTGCAGGATTTAGATGTCTCTCTTGGAATTAAGAACCGCAACAGCCCCTAGTGTTTTTATGGCTCTTTACTTTTGTTTTGAGGGCAAAGGCTATCAGTGGGTTCAGAGGGCAGTGCCCTGCCAGTAGAGGTCATTTGCCTAAAAAAATGGATTTTATATATATGTATAAATATGAAACTAACCTTAGCAATGTTGGAATGCTCATTTATTTTTGGTCCCATTCTAAGACCGGATGATATCATCACGGGTGTGATGGGGTCTGGAAGTTTCCGTGGCCTTCTCCCTACCCCCTTTCTCCCAAACTTACCCGATGGCTGAGAATCCTTACTATGGGCTCTCAGAGTCAAGGCACCATCCTGGGCACAGGGATCTATGGAACATGTATTTCCATTGAAAGAGCCAGTTTGGTGTAGTGGTTAAGTGTGTGGACTCTAATCTGGGAGAACCTGGTTTGATTCCCCACTCCTCCACGTGCAGCTGCTGGATGACCTTGGGTCAGTCACAGGTTCTGTCAGAGCTGTCCTTGAAAAAAGAGCAGTTTCTGTCAGAGCTCTCTCAGCCCCACCTACCTCACAGGCAGTGCTCCCTCTAAGCTGTGTAGTCTTGTGAGCAAAAAATTCTACTTTGTGAGCTACTGGCATTAAAGTTGTGAGCGAGTGATTTGGCTACTGCATCAATTAGTTTGCTCTGGAGCCCTCCTTCCTGAGCTAAGACAAAAATGTGTGAGTCGGAGGCTAAAAAACTGTGAGCTAGCTCACACTAACTCAACTTAGAGGGAACACTGCTCACAGGGTGTCTGCTGTGGGGAGGGGGAGGAAAAGGAGTTTGTAAGCCGCTCTGAGACTCCTTTGGGTAGTGAAGGGCAGAGTATAAATCCAATCTCCTCCTCCTCCTCCTCCTCGTCTTCTTCTTCTTCTTCATTTTCCAGTAGGCTTGTCAAGATCTGGGGGAACTGTTTCTCCCCGTTACCCTGTTGCAGAGGTGCATTAACAACATCTCAGATACAAGGAAACATGTTATACACACTTGTAGTTGATCCTGATATAACTCTGTTGGCTAGAGGCTGTCAGGGAGGGTCAGCATCAGCCGACGCCTATTTGGTCTCAGTTCGTAATGGAGTCAGGAACTTCTAAAACTTGAGCATTTGCTTCCGTCTCTCTCCCCCCCCCCCCCCCCCCCCAAGCTTGGATTTGTGCAATGTGGTTAATTAAAAAGATTGAGTCCTTCAGTTTGAATGAATTAAATTGGTGTTGATTATCCACTCCCTCAGCAGTGGAATCAGAGGAACTTGACCCTTGCAAACATAACAGATCAGAGCATCCACCCTGTCATGATCTGTGAAGAACTGGGAGACAAGGCCTAGTGAGGCCTAGGCCCAGGAGACCTGTGTGGGAGTGGAAAGCAGACACCGCCTACAGTCCCCACAATGCTTGGCTCCGGTCGTAACCAATTGGTGTCTGGGGATTGTATGAGGAAATTGTTACTTAGATTTTGTGGGCTGTGAAACTGCGTTCTTTTCTCTCACAGAGTTAAACTGAGAGGACAGTTTGGTCTGAGAGAAAGATCCCTCACTTGGCACAGAGTACAGGCACAGGCCTGGTATAAAAGGCTGTGGGCCTTGAATAATAACCAGTTAAGAGAAATAGGTAGCCGCGTTAGATTTGTTTTATTTACCTTTAGACACTGTTATATATATTTTAAGCCCCTTGTCTTGTTTTTCCCTTGCCTCATTACTGTATTAATAAACCATTTTTTTTAATGTTCTCTGCCTGGTCATCACGCCTATATTTCTCAGCTTAAAAGGGGCAATTTTAGTTGGGCTTGGGAGGGTACTCTGGGCCTTCCCAAGGGACCCTAAGTCCAGAGTGGTGGCAGAGGAAGGTGGCAACCCACGGGGTGTCATGCCATCCAGCCTTTTGCCTCCCGTTTGAAGTGCAAAGTAATGGATTCTTGTCTTTCACGTTTCACAGCGCTATCGTGGCTTTAGTATACAACGTGCTGAAGGCATTCATGGAAATGAACAGCGCCATGTTCGACGAGCTGACGGCCACTTACAAGTCAGATCGCCAGCGGTAACTTTTTAAAGCTTTTTTTGTTTTGTTTTGGTCAGCTGTGCATAAGGCCTGCTATTTTGAGTTTGTTTTTTGGTTTTTTTGACACTTGGCAGCGACTGCATAATTTCCCCACACACGATTGATTGCGATGCCTTCATCCCCCCTCCCCGCATGCTCATTAGCCTGGCCCTTGCAAGATGTATAGATGGTTCTTTCCCCACCTCCCCTTTATGAGATACAGTACCCATTGCGTAGCTTGCGAACTTGCATTCCTCACAGAACTTCTTTTGGCACTGTATCAAAGACTTAAATGTATCAAGAGTTTTCAATAGTAGTTTTGTTTTTTGTTTTTTTGAAAAAATATTAAGCTGTCACTTTGCTTGAAGGTAATGTCCTGTGTGGGACTTCTCGATGAGTTGAAGCAGCAACTCTCATCAGAGATGATTGAAATCTCCAAGCAAAGTGACCCCCCTTTTTTCAGTCCCTTCTTCACTCTTCCTCCTTCTCCCGTCTCTTGATACATCCAAGGCTTTGCCGTGGCAGGATCCAGAAGAAGTGCCATCCATGTATAGTCCATTAGTTGCAACCCTCCCCACCTCAGTCAAAATGTTTCTCTTGTCTTTTTTCCTTGATCGTCCATCTCCGGTTTTATAGCGCATCATCTCTTGTCTGAAATTTCAGCTTATCCAAAGCAGCAGGTGAAACTAATGAGGAAACTTCGGGAACTCCGGGCAGTTTGCGACTTGGTGAAAGTCGTGCCTTTTGTGAGACTCGGGGTTCCCACAAGCAAAGCGAAGGGTACTGTATGTCATCAAGCCTTGTTAGGTTAGTATAGCCTCTCGTACGTCTTTGGAGGCCCGTGACACCATTGAGTTCCAATGCCAGGCTCACTGCTCTGAAGGTCTTTTCCATTTTTTAAAAGAACGTGAACTAGTGGACCGACCCAGATGTTGTACACTTCACGCTTGGTCTGTCTGGGTTGTTTTGATGGCTCATGATAAATTTAAACCGGGCAGGAATGGTTGCATAATGCCAGGGCCACACTAGGTGACAGAGAGCTTCTGGAGGTTGACACACGATGGGTCTAGGTGCAAATACGACACAAGAAACGGGCAGACTCATCCAGTACTGATTTATTGGTTGTGTCTGGAGCTGAATCTTCCCAGAGCAGAGATCCCCAACCCTTTTGAGCCCATGGGCACCTTTGGAGTTAGAACACAGGAACATAAGAGAAGCCATGTTGGAGGAGGCCAGTGGCCCATCCAGTCTGACACAAGGTGGTGGATATATAAGCAAAAAATGCCTGCCACAAGAAGAATAAGAGATTGGATTTATACCCCCACCGTTCCACTACCCAAAGGAGTCTCAGAGTGGCTTACAAACACCCAGCTTGTGTCAGGAGTGACGAGAGAGTAAACGTTTTTTAAAAGTGATGAGAGAGAGAGACGAGGGCACCGGCAGGCAAGGTAGGGCGCTGGCTCGGTGTGGCCATGGCACGCACGAAAAATAAAACTGGCTGGATGGGAAGTTGGGAGGCCTGGACGGTAAATGGGGGGCGGGGCATGAGGTGCTCCACTGTAGCTACGGGCCTGTGCCACGGTGCCCATTGACACCATGTTTGGGACCCCTCCTGAAACAATTGTCTGTATTTGCTAGGCTCAGATAGTCCAGATAAGGCTTCACTGATTTGGTTGGTTGATTGATTGATTTAACTTATATTCTGCCCTCACCACAAGTGGGCTCAGGGCGGATCACAAAGCCATTTGGCACCATAATATAAATACATTAATCGTTTAAAAACAGTTAAGAACAACGATCTATGAACAACGATTTAAAAACAGATTGCACATACATTAACAGTTTAAAAACAATTAAGAACGCTTTATGAACAACGATTTAAAAACAGATTGCACTGTTTGTGTATGCACAACTATTCCCAGAGCCGGTACCTCTGGGTCTCTAAGATCTCCTTGCTCTGGGCCAGGTGAAACCAATGAGGAAACTTCGGCATGGGGGAGGTATGAAATTGGTTTTTGGAACTCTGAGATTAGGTGGCCAGAATCCAAAGAATTACTCTCGAGCTCATGTGAGCCCAGCGCAGTTAGGCCCCATTCCGTATCACAGTCCGCTCTGAAAGTCCACTCAGTTTCAGAAACAGCTTGCTTATGTGGCATGAGAAGCTGCAGTCCCTGAAGTTCTCCTGGCTGGCTGCATAGAACTAATGGCGCAGTTGTGTGGATCCCACTTGCACTAACTGCATGATTCTTACCGAAACAGAAAGCGGTGTTCAAGTAGAGGATATACGTTATTGAGGAACAGGCCCCATTGTGTTCACTGGGATTCAAGTAATCATACGATTGCAGAGCTAGGATTGTACTGAACACATTTGAATGCATGTTGCAGAGCCTAACTTTCTGTTGTATCCAAAATAACGGAAATTCAAACAGCTGTGTTCTCACTAGGAAATTTGTCTTAGGATAATCAGTATTCTCGCAGGTTGCGGAAATAAAGGTTGAACTAGAGAACGATCACCCTGACCTGGATGGCCCAGGCTAGCCTGATCTCATTAGCTATCAGAAGCTAAGCCAGTTTGGCCCTGATCAGTACTTGGATGGGAAACCACCAAGGAAGTCCAGGGTTACAACACAGAAGTAAGCAATGGCGAATCACCACTATGGCTTGGCTCCCCCACTTGTGTGTCTGTGAGTCCCATGGTGCCCCCTGGCACCTTTTCTAATACACGCCAAGCATCTTTAGAAAGTAGGTGGAGCTTAAGTGGCTCTTGTCCAGCAGGGCTTCTGATTGGCCACTGATTGGTTAGGCACATTAAAATGACATGGTTTCAGTGGCAGCTGCCATGCCAAGCATTTTTAGAAAGTAGGTGGAGCTTAAGTGGCAGCTGCCAGCACGATGTTGGCATTGTTCCCTCTTACACGCTTCTTTCCCAGTGTAAAAAATTGCTTCTATTCCCTGCACTTTGACTCCCTTTGTGTGTGTCTCTGCCTCTTGCGGTAGCCATTTTGTAGCTGGCTCCTCCTCATGTGGCAGCCATTTTCTGGTGGCGCCCGCCCACCACCCTGTATCAGAATTTCAGTGGTGCCCATAGGCTCTAAAGGGTTGAGGACCCTTGCCCTGCAGGATTGCGGTAAGTCTGCTGCAACCTGGGAGTACTTTCCACCACTGGCGAAATATCATTGTGTCTGCTTCACGGTAATTTGAGGTCAGGCATTTTTCTACTCATCGATAATTCCTGTGGTGTAATTTAGTCCGATCTCGATGATAGAACTGTGGTTCTAATTAATCATAAAGCATTAACATTTGTGACTGCTCCAAGGCCTCACAGGAGATGGGTGCGGTATAAAAATATGACCAATAAATAAAAAAATAAAGAAGACGAGATTAGAAAGTGTGCGGACTCTAAGCTGGGAGAACTGGGTTTGATTCCCCACTCCTCCACTTGCACCTGCTGATGTGACCTTGGGTCAGTCACAAGCTCTGGCACAGCTGTCCTTGAAAAAGAGCAGTTTGTGTCAGAGCTCTCTCAGCCCCACCTACCTCACAGGGTGTCTGTTGTGGGGAGGGGAAGGGAAAGGAGTTTGTAAGCCGCTCTGAGACTCCAAGTGAAGGGCGGGGTATAAATCCAATCTCTTCTTCTTCTTCTTCTTCTTCTTCTGTACGCTCTGATTGATACAGTCCTTCCTTAAAGGATTAAATACAGAGAAAAATAAGATGGGTCCAACATGATACAGTGGTCTAGGTTCCTGACTAGGACTTGGTGAGACCTGGGTTCAAGTTACCACTCAGCCTTAAAAAAAATTCACTGGATGATGTTGGGCCAGTTAACCTGTTTGGAAGGAGGGAGAGCCATGTATGCCAGGCTCAATTCCTTGGAGTAAGGATGGCAGAATAATGAGATGGTGGGCAAAATATGGGCTAATAAGAGCTCTCTCGACTTCATCATGACCTTCACTATTCTTGAAGGCATATGACAAACAATGTGGGTTTCTAGTACAGGAAAGATAACCTATCCTTCTTTTTTCAAAAGCCTACAGCGGTGAGTTTGATCTGTAAAATGTGTTCATTCTATTGACTTCCAGCTGTCAAGGCAGTTTTTATCGATTTGGGCTTAGAAAATATTCCAGTAAGCGCAGGAGAGCAAGACCTATCAGCAGATTGAGCCAGTACTGTTGATTTGAGTACACGTTCTGTCTTGGCAAGACTCAAGAGGGCTCTAAGTAGAACTGGGTGCCAAAGGACACCACCAGCTAGGGTCGTAACACACGAAGCTATGAAGCCGCTGTGTTCCCCGTGTGTAATTTAGGATGTTTCCAAGGGGGTAAACCCGAGAATACTCAGCGGCCGTCATTAGTCCACAGCACTGTTTCGTTTCTTTGTGTAGCAATACTGTTGTAAACGACAAAGTTCTTCAGAAATTCAGTGTCAGTGATGCCTTTTTTTTTTTTTGCTTTGCTTTGTTTTGTTTAGTGAGAAGAAAAAAGAGAAAGAACGTGAAGAACTATGGAAGAAACTGGAGGATCTGGAATTAAAGAGGGGGCTCAGACGGGATGGAATAATTCCGACTTAACAAAAAAGGAGAGCAGCAATGTTAACGATCCTGTGGAGTCACACATGTATGTAGTAGAAGATGGAGCAACAGTTTTCTGTATTGTGCAACTTTACAGTAGATTTCACATTTGTTTCATTATTACAACAGCCCTGTGTATATATCTGTCTCTAAGTAACGGGGGGAGGAAAAAAAAATAAGGACTTCAATCCAAAGTTTGGACAACGGATGGACTTTTCCTCAGAACTTTGCAAAAATAATCATTGTTTTACCTCTCCTTTAAAACCAGTCTTCAGAAAGATCCATTGACGGGGAAAAAATTGCCGTGTCCGAATTCCATCGCCAGGACCTGTCCCTTATTTATCATTAGCAGAGAGTAATACAACTTCAGATGTGAACAATCTTAAAAATCTAGCTTGTCTTTCTGCTAAAACTGTTAAATGTATTTATAGTAAAAGAGGAAAAAAAAGAGAGATTGTCATTTTTCATATGAGTTTGTGTAACATCTTCTCTGGATAACTATGATGTAATTTGACTTTTTTTGGGGTGGGAGGCAGGGTGGGAGTGGGGGATCTTTTTTTTTTTTTTTTTGCACATCTTCACAAGTTGAATGTTTATACAGATCAGGGCCGTGGAAAAAGAAAAATTAGGGTCCTTTAATGCTAAGAGTTTTGTTCTGGTATAAAGCATCTTTTTTGAGTACCAGACTTGCTTTGGTGCTCCTTCAGTGTGAACATGACAAATAAATATAAAAAAGTGGTTATAAACAGAATTGGGAAGTGTGCTTCGGAGTACTCAGTGGATCAAGTTGATGGCACGTCCAAGCTCACCTCTCCGACCGTTATCCAAGTGTGCAGCGGCGACAACGCAGACTTCAGTATCTGACCAGTATTAGTTGTTACACTGTCGATTAAGTAAACTTGACCAGGTTTGTGTTAGTTAATAATGAGGCTAAATTATTGTATTACTATACGTCTTCTTTGAGGCCATTTGGAAATAATATTAATTATATATATAAAAAAAAAAGCTAAGGAAAACAGCCAGGGCTCTTTTTGTAGCAGGAACTCCTTTGCATATTAGGCGACACACCCCTAAGGTAGCCAGTCCTCCAAGAGCTTACAGTAGTCCCTGTAAGAAGAGCTCTGTAAGCTTTTGGAGGATTGGCTACATTAGGGGTGTGTCGCCTAATATGCAAAGGAGTTCCTGCTATACATCTATGAGATGGATCTCAAAAGGTCATCATGGATTTAATATCTGGGGGGCAGAGTGGGGAGTTGAGCAAAAGTTTGGATGTTTTGAAGTTTTGTTGCCTTTTTAAAATATGGCTTTATTAAACATTCCAGCAAAAAAGGGGGAGGGATGTATTGGGGAGGATGTAGCTTCTGGGGAGGAAAAATGCAGTGGCACATTCGTGACTTGAATACTGTTTTTCATCACAGCTATTCTTTTTGGGGGTTTTTGAGCTGGAATGGATTCTGGGTAACATGCTTCATCATTCCGGTCTTGGACGCTCATTCCTCACGACTGTATTTGTTACCAGAATGGTTCTAAAAATACTACTGGGGGGGGGGGGGGAGGAGAATACCCCGTAATTCTAGCAATCCCAATCAGCTAAGTATTAGTTTAAAAAAAAATTGAATTGATTTTCTATCAAAGGTGCATTGTGACCAAACTGTTTAAGATTAAAAACAAAAAAAGAGAAGGGAAGAGAGCTGTATTATAAAGTATACATTACTGGCTATCTGCTTTGTATTTGAAAGTGGAATCTCACATCTTTGGTAGATAAAATGCTGACGAGACTTGTGTACAGTATATATTTAGCTAATGCAGGTGCATTATTATATACCGTAAGGTATGTGTTTTTTCAGGATTTTTCTCCAGGATGCTTTTGAACTGTTATATGACAACAATGAATTGATAATCCTAAACCATTGATCCAGCCGTTATTCAACAGTATAAAGCTGAATTGGTGTTCATGAGTCTTTTTGTGATAGTTGCAAACATGGATTTACAACCTGTCGCTATCGATAGAAGTTACAGTATAAATACAAGCTTGTATATTTCCCCCCCTTTCTTCTTGCCATTTAAATACGAGGTAGAATTTGAGGTTTCCTTGTTTCTAGGCCAAAGGGGGGGGGGAGAAAATAACCCCCTTTTGACTGACTACTGTTTTGGGATTATCAGGTCAGTTTTGTACACACAAGTCTTCATGTATGGATGTTGTAAAGTCAATGGCTTTGTAAAACAACCCCAACCAAACAAAAACTTGACGCTGTTAATTCTGGGGGTGGGGGGTGGGACAGAAGGAAACTAGTCATCCGCCACACCAAACACAACATGGTTCAACGGGATTAAGCTAAGCCTCTTTTAAGAACATTGACTGGGACTCAATGTAAACTCGGCAGACGCCGCCCTCGGTGAAACGTTCTATTTTTCAAAAGTGCTGGAGCAAAGGTGCAAGCTGAAATACTGAAGATGAAATAAATTTATAACAAAACATTTCCCTTAGACCTTTTTTTTTAAAATCTTGACCGTGCTTTCGTTTCCCGCCGCAGATTTCAGGGCTAAGTCGGGACTGGCTGCATGTGGGGGGTTGTTTGTACG